CCATCTTTCTCAGTCTTCCCCACGAATTCCTGTGTCAGTCTCGTTTTACAATAGGGGCACTGCAGTATTTGTCCTTTTGTGACTGAGATATTTCAGTTAGCATAATGTCCTCCAGGATGACCCATTTTTAATAATATTGCATGAGTTCCTTCGTTTTCAGTGCAGCATTGTTTTCTATTGTGTGAACATATCAGAGCTTCTCTATACATCTGTTTGTTGATGCGTATTTAGCTTGTTTCCATCTCTTTGCTATTGTGAACAAAGCTGCGATAAACATGGGTGTGCATATATCTGCTTGCGTGGTGGTTATGGTTTCTTGAGGTGTATTCCCAGCAGTGGAATTGCTGGGTCAAATGGTATTTCTATTTGCAACTTTTTGAGAAAGTGTCATACTGCTTTCCAAAGTGGTTGCACCATTTTACACTCTCATCAACAGTGAATAAGAGGTTCCAGTTTCTCCACAAGCTCGCCAGCATTTGTTGTTTTCTGTTCTGTTAAGTTTTACTATTCTTACTGGGGTGAGATGATATCTCATAGTTGTTTTGATTTGCATCTCTCTTAGAGCTAGGGATTTTGAACATTTCTTCATGTGTCTGTTAGCCATCTGAATGTCTTCTTTGGTGAAGTGTCTGTTCATTGCCTGGGCCTATTTTTCAATTGGGTTGTTTATCTCTATTTGTTGTGGCACTCAAGTATTTTATAAATTCTAAATACATGTCCCTTATCTGATGTGCCATTGCCAAATACTTTTTCCCAGTCTGTGGCTTCCTTTTCTTACCCTGTTGGAGAAGTTTTTGGATGTGCATAGGGATTTGATTCTTAGAAGGTCCCATTCCTCTATTTTATCTTCTCCTAGTTGTAGATTTTTCAGGATGCTTGGAATACTGTTTATCTTGTGGATTAGGACATCTAGAGTTCTTCCAAGCTTTTGTTTAATGACGTTTATAGTCCTTGGTTTTAGTCTTATGTCCATGATCCACCTTGAGTTGGTTTTTGTGTACAGATTGAGGTGTTGGAGTGAGGTGTGGATCTTTCTTGAGTTTTCTGCAGATAGTTTTCCAATTTTACCAACACCATTTGTTAAAAAGAATGTCATTTTCCCACTTAATGATTTCATCCCCTTGTCAAAAATCAGTTGGGCTGATTTCTGGGTTCTCAATTCTATTCTATTGATCTATGTGTCTGTCATTGTACCAGTACCATGCTGTCTTAACCACCATGGCAGTGTAATAGGACTTGAAATCAGGGAGTAAGATACCTCCTACCTTGTTTGTCTTTTTAAGGAGTTCTTTGCTTATTCGGGGCTTCTTTCCATTCCAAATGAAACTGGAGATTGCCATTTCCATCTCATTGAAGAATTTAACTGGCTTCTCGTCCATGCAAATAATAGATGATTCAGGACAAAAAAAAAAATCTTCGTATGTTTTTTGCATGGTGATACCTTTCTACTTAGGTGATATCCCTCTAAGATTTGCTGTAGTGGAATTGCTTTCTGATGAATACAAGGACGGCAACAGGGAGCTCAGTGTTTCTTTGTATTGTGTGAAGGATCTCTGAGTCAGGATTGACCCCAAAGCACCTAACAACAACAGCGATAACAATGGATTCCTGAATGGAAATTACTTTCAAAAGTGATAATTTAAAAAAGAGTATGTTTATACATAGTGATTGTTGTTATGTGCCATCGAGTTGCCTGCGACTCATTGCGACTCTGTGTACAACAGTCCTAAACCCTGCTCTATCCTGTGCCAATCTCACTGTCTCTGACACACCTACCCCCATTACCCCAGTTACTGAATCAATCCATCTCATCGAAGGTCTTCCTCTCTTGAACTGACCCTCCACCCTTCCAAGTATGATGTCCCTTTCCAACGATTGGTCCCTTTTTGCAACATGTCCAAATATATATCTCTGTCTCTATATCTATCTATCTATCTATCTATCTATCTATCTATCTATCTATCTATCTGTCTATCATCTATCTATCTCCACATAGGAAGTATCAATGCTAATCCAAAGATGAAACCTTATTGGCTGTTCAAATCCAGCAGCTGTTCCTCAGAAAAAAGACGGGCAGTCTCCTCCCATGAGATTTACATCCTCTAATCATCTGCTAGAAGTTCAACTACAGCCGGTGCTGACTTGATGCAATGAATTGAGTTCAGTTTATGTGTATATGTGCACTTTAAAATTCAGAGTGCTGTTAAAACCCTTCATTCAGTAACTTCTGGTTATGGAATTTTTTTTGTCATGTCAGCCTCATAGGAGTGAGTATAGTGACTTTTTCTTTCATGGGCCTTTTCAAGGAACTACTGTTGTTGCTATCTGGTGCCATTGACTTGACTACAAGTCATAACGACCGTATGAACAACTGATCTGAACCCTGTCCTATCCGGTACCATCTCCAACACCCTCAAAACCATTTCTGCAGTCACTTGTGTCAGTCCACTTGGTGAGGGTCTTCCTCTTCTTCGCCGACCCTCTTGCCTTTCTAAGCATTGTGTCCCTCTCCCCATAACAGCCTCTTCTATCAACATCCCCAAAGTATGTGAGACAAAGCTTCAGCATCCTTGCCCCCAAGGAGCACTCTGGCTGCACTTTTTCCAAGACATGTCTATCTGTTCTACTGGCAGTCTGTGGAATATTCCGTGTTCTCCAACACAACTCAAAGACATCAATTCTTCTCCTGCCATCCTTACTCTCTGTCCAGCTCTCTGATTCATACTGTGAGTATTGAGAAGGAGATTGCTTTCTCATTCTGAGTCCTTTCATCCTCTCTCACTGCTCTCTTGGAGCCCAGGCTATGAAGGGTTAACCAGGAGCTATGTGTCCATGATTCCTATGACAGCTTCATGCCAGCGAGAAGAAGCTACCACCAGCTGAGGTGAAAACAACAAATATGTTTCTTGAAACAGTGGACTGTTATTATTTGCGTTCAGGAATGTCTTGGGCAATTAGCAGTGGCTGGTTAGAGTGTGTGTGCATATTTATTGTTCATTCATGGATGCTTGGAGGGAGAAAAACAATGAGTGAACACAGCAGGAGGGGATGGTAGGGAATCAAAAGGACTGTGGTAAACTATCAGGCTCATACCTTATCTAAAGACACTGCTGCAGCTCCTTTCCCCCTGTCTTAGCATTACCATGAGGGGAAGTAGACCCAGTATTGAAGCCTGATTTTAGGAGAGAAGATAATGCTGTAGATTTGACATGAATTTTCTGTTTTTTATCTGTTGGCTCTGGAATGTAAAAGACACTGCGTGAGCCCTGGAGGACATGTGTCTTGGAGGAGCTTGGCACAAGGTTGCTGTTTTGTCCTGTTGGCAGCCAAGAGAACTCCGAGATGGGTGTCATGAGACCTGGGATGGTTGTCACCTCTTCTCTTTTGAACAAGCTGCACTTTCATTCAGTAGCTCTATTTTAGGAACACTTTTAACATCCAGATTTCTCTGTTATAGAAGCTGGAGATGCTGGAATCTGTCAGAGGCTCCAAGAACTGGGGAGTGCTGGGTCAAGGTGGAGTAAAACTGACTGTTGTGCACGACTTAAAGTCAGGGTATCATTGGAGACTTGAGGCATGGGCACCCATCTGCAAGGGGCAGGTACTCATACACAGGTACAGAAGCAGAGTGATCAGACCTTAGTGTTAAGGAGAGCATAGAAGGGAACTTGACCCCAGAGCCTTGCTTACCTGTAGGTGGGTAGGAAGATGTTGAGAATACTGGTTGATCTGGAAAGTTGTTGATGATTGACCCAGACAAGTTACTTAGGCGGAATCCCCTGGAGGTCTGTCTTTTCTTCTTTAATGTCTCTGTGAAGATACGGAATGTTCCTGCTCCAGAAGAGCACTCAGTATAAATATTATTAAAAGTTTCTTTTCCCAGAGTGACCATTTGATGTCATCTGGCTTCAGCTTTATAGCTTACACAAGATAGGGTCATTCTGCTTCCAGAATGCCTCCACAGCCCTTGAAAGTCCTGGTCAATGTCTCTGTTGTCCCATTCATCTTCCTCATGTTGGTGCTCTTTGGTAGACGGATGGATAATCCATGCTCTTGTTCCTTTTATTACCTGAACCAAAGAGGAAATAGATAGAAGGCTTGCATCCAGAGTTCAAAATGCCAACTTTATTGTTTTTATTATTATTCTTTTTAATATTATATGGGTCTGTTCACAAAGTTCACATACATTGTGTTTCACACTGTTCTTCACTCTTACTGTGTTTCAGACAACCATTCCCATGCATTATGTTTTATAAAATCAATCACCATTGGACCTTACCCATCATTACCCTGTCTTTTCAGGTCCCCTCTGGATCCCTCCCATTTCCTTCACCCGCTCCATCTAACCACCAAACTGTGCAACCCTGTGGTTTCACCACTACTCACCTTCACCCCTCTGCTCCCATCCCTGTCCCCCTTGGGTCCCCATACATGTTTTACAAGTTATGCTTCTAGTTTTACAATAATGGTCTTATGCAGTATTTGTCCTTATGAGACTGAGTTAGTTCATTCAGCATAATGCTCTTCAGTTTGTTTTTGATGGATTTGGATTGAGATGTCAGCCTGGATCAGTGCCGAGTGCCAAGTGCTCTTCCTATTACCTTCCTAGAATTTACCCACTTCATCAGGGAAGCTTGTTGGACAGTAACCTTGCTAGAAAGGGTTGCTCACCATCTAGAGGAAGTGTAGTGCTGAAGATGGGCTGTTGCAGTGGAGGGAAGGAGCAAGTCATGTCTCCGTTGTGACACATGAACCGCATTCGGTAGGACAGTCATTCTCAAGGGGTGGTCCCCACTCCAGCAGCATCAGCATCAGCATCTCCTGTAACTTATTAGAAATGCAGATTTATGTCTTTGTATTTTTCAGTTCGCTCCTCAAATTGACTCAGCTTCTGAGGATCAGACCCAGGAGTGTTTGCTTTAACTAGTCCTTGACATGATTATTCAGGACAGGGAAAGATTGCTTAGGCTACTCGACCACACCCAACAACCACAACTTAGTGCTTGGGATGCAACTAAAGTTAGGGAACTACTGCAGCAGAGGAATAAGGGCCAGTGGCCTCAGTCCTCCCCAGTCCTTGAGAAGAGTAAGAAAGGATGGTAGCAAAGAAGCCAAAAGTGCTGTGTCAAGATTAGGTTTTATGGATACCCCAAAGTAGGACGATATATTTCCCTGAGACATAATCCTGATTTCCACGTAGGAGTGTGGTCTGAGAAGGACTGGCAGGGACAGTCAGGAAATCATTTTTCAAATGCCCATTTTCTTATCCCTTTTCTGACTGACTGGGAAAGATCCATATTTGTTTCCATTCCTAAAATGAGGTGATTCCAAAGAATGTGGGAATTATCGAATAATATCACAAAGCAAGTAAGGTCTTGTTAAAGAGGATTAAAACAAGATGTATAGAACAGTATACATTGCCAGGAACCACCAGAAACACTTATTGGATCCAGAAGAGGCTATAGCATGAGGGATAGTTTTACTGGTAACAGGTGGATCTTGACTGAAAACAGAGACTACCAAAAAAAATCCATCTATGTTTTATTGACTATGCAAGGCATCTGACTGTGTGGATCATAACAAATTATGGCTAACATTGAGAAGAATGGGAATCTCAGAATAGTTTAATTGTGCTCATGCAGAACCTATGCACAGAACAAGAAGCTGTTGTTCAATACAAGGGAACACTGAATAGTTTCAAATTAGAAAAGGTGTGCATCAGATTTGTATCCTTTCTCCGTACCTATTAAATACATTGCTGTTATTAGGAGGTGTCAAGTTGAGTTTGAATCTTAATGACTCTGTGAATAACAGATCTGAACCCTGTCCTGTTCTGAGAAGAATGGGAATCCCAGAACACTTGATCGTTCTAATGCAAAACTTATACTTGGACCAGGAGGCAGTCGTCAGAACAGAGCAAGGGAACACTGCATGGTTCAAAATTGGGAAGGGCGTACGCCAGGGATGCATCCTATCTCCATACCTTTTCAACCTATATGCAGAACAGATTATCTGGGAGGCGGGGCTCTATGAGGAGAAATGTGGGGTCAGGATTGGTGGACGATTTATCAACAATCTGCGTTATGCGGATGACACAACCCTGCTTGCTGAAACTGAGGAGGACCTGAAGCCCCTGCTGCAGAGCGTCAAGGACTGTAGCCTACAATATGGATTGAGGCTCAATGTCAAGAAGACAAAGATTCTCACCACTGGACCAACTGGTAGCATCAGGATGGATGGTGAAGAGACTGAGATTGTACACAGCTTTAGTTTGCTTGGCTCCATAGTCAACAGTCTTGGCACCAGCAGCCAGGAAATTAAAAGGCGCATTGCCATGGGAAAGTCTGCTGTTAGGGACCTCTCCAAAGTACTGGAGAGCAATGGTATCTCTTTGGGGACTAAGGTGCATCTACAGGCCATGGTCTTCGCAGTCACCTGTCATGCATCAGAGAGTTGGACAATGACCAAGGAGGATAGAAGGAGAATTGATGCCTTTGAGCTGTGGTGCTGGAGAAGAGTATTGAGAATACCATGGACTGCTAGGAAAACAAACAGATTTGTCCTGGAAAGGGTTAAACCGGGTGGCTTCTTGGAGGCAAGGATTCTGAGACTCCGTCTAACATACTTTGGACATGTTGTGAAGAGAGACCGGTCCTTGGAGAGGGACATCATGCTTGGGAGGGTGGAAGGACAGCGCAGGAGAGGAAGGCCCTCTATGAGGTGGATTGATTCAGTGACTGGGATAATTGGGATGGGAGTGTCAGAGACAGTGCGATTGGCACAGGACAGAGCGGAGTTTAGGTCTGTTGTACATAGGGTTGCTATGAGTCGCAGGCGACTCGACGGCACATAACAACAACAACAACAGTAGTGTGCCCAAAGTATGTGAGACAGACCTTTGCCTCCAAGGAGCACTCTGGCTGCACTTTCTCCAAGACATACCTGTTTGTTCTTTTTGCGGTCCATAAGATAGATATTTAGTACTCTTCTCCAGCACCACAGCATTCGAAAATCTAGACCAAATGAAGAAGAATGGTATCAGAATTGGAGAAAGCCTCTTCAACAGTCAGTATTATGCAGTTATACAACTTTACTTGCAGAAAATGAAGGAAACTTCGTTAAGTATTTGCTGAAGATCAAAGATTACAGCCTTTGGTATGGATTACATCTCAACATCAATAAAACAAGAGTCCTCACCACTTGGCCATTACACAACATCATGATAGATGGAGAAAGCATTGAAGTTGTCAATAGTTTCGTCTTACTTGGATCCACAGTCAAAACCCATGTTGTTGTTGTTGTTGTTGTTGTTGTTAGGTGCCGTTGAGACTATTACAAATCATAGGGACCCTATGAACAAAAGATCTGAACTCTGCCTGGCCTGGGTGATCCTCACACTTCCTGACACACAAGAGCCCATTGCAGCAGTCATTGTGTCCGTCCACCTGGTTGAGGAACCCTTCCCAGCATCATGTCCCTCTCCAAGGAGGAGCACCTCCTAGCAACGTGTCCAAAGTATGTGAGGCGAAGCTTTACCACCCTTGTCTCCAAAGAGAACTCCAGCTGCATCCTCTCCTAAACATATATGTTAGTCCTCTTGGTGTACCTGCAATGTTCAGTGCTCTTCTCCAGCACCACAGCTCAAAGATGTCACTTCTTGGTAAGGGGTCTCTTTTTCATGGCACCACTGGGGTAGGCGACTGCTTCACTATGAAACTGAACTTCTTTCCAGCACCAGCTGCCAGAAGCTCATTGGAGTGGAAGATGAAAGCAAACTTGGAACACATTATGAGAAGTGGATGACCACATAAATTTCTGCTGACTCTCTGGGTGAGGAGTGGAAGGTGTATGTTGTGTGAATCAGTGATGGAAACAACAAACAAGGTTTTCCCATGAAGTAGAGTCTTTTGACCCATGACTGAGTTCACCTGCTGCTCAGTAAGGGGAACTCCAGTTACAGAGCACGGAGAACTGGAGAGAGGAAACGCAAATTCCTTCAAGGTTGCATTGTGGATGCCAATCTGAGTGTTCTCAACTTGGTTACTGTGAAGAAAAGGGGCACAAACACTTCAGTCTCTAAGGTTGACAATGTCTGTCACTGTGTTGTGAAAAAGTCAACAAAGAAGGCATGAGACTCGGGCCTAAAGTGCTCAACATCCAAGGACCAGTATTTGGAGGGCATCATGCTTGGAAGGGTGGAATGTCACAGCAGGAGAGGAAGACCCTGAATGAGATGGATTAACAAAGTAACTGGGTTTATGGAGATTGGTATGTGGGAGACAGTAAGATTGGCTCAGGATAGAGCAGGATTCAGGGCTGTTGTTCATAGGGTCACTATGAGTCGCTGGCGACTCAATGGCACATAACAACAACAATTTTGCATTTAACATTTTAAGATAACTAAGAGATAAGTTTTTCTAAATGCTTATTTTTAGGGAAACCATTTCAGTTCGAGCCATGTTTTTAGAGGCTTTAAATTAAAATTGCGCCTCCTTGGATATATTTAGCCTGGAAGAGATGTAGCTGACACAGATTTCACCCCTCCTTCTTTTCCCCCCCACAACAAAACCTCTTATAAATACACTCATTTCTGTATAGTCCAGAATGGACACTGGTGTGCATTAAATAACTGAATCTTTCAAAATACTGTTACAAGACTGGAAAAGTATGCAAGAATTTAAGTTATCTCTGCTTATAAATATTTTTTCTCTGACTTAATACAAAATTGCAAATGCAGTGTTGTTAATAATTGCAGCAACTAAGCAATTACTTTGTATTTAAAAGTCAGTTGTTACTATATCTTGGAGGAACATTCTTCTAAGTGGTACAGCACTGTTCTGTTGCTATGCCCTACTGAGGTAACCTGGAGCTGTTGTGATGCTGAACCTTATGCCATTGGGGTGCCAAATGGTGTAACAGTTACTTTTGGTGGACAGTTTTTTGCAGCTCCCAGTTTAAGACAGGTTTGGAAGCAGGAGTGACCTCCACTTCGTAAACAACAAGCCTCTGGAAACTATGAACTTTGAGAAACGATGAGGTCTTTTGTTCATAGGGTCCCTATGAGTCGTGCTCCACTCGAAGGCAGTCAACAACAACAACAACAATAACAAACAATTACTGTGTTCCAGGGCCTGCCCTTTAAACTGATAATAGAATGAGGAAACTAAGTCAGAGAAGATATTATTCACTTTATAGATGTGCCTGTTTTTTTGGCTAACAGGTGATCTCTGGGAAAGTGTTGAGTCCTCAGTTTGAAGGATGTGTGAGGGGTTCAGCGGGTCTCTATGAGACCAGCATGTTTGGTCTGTTTTTAGGACTTTGGACTTTGTTTATGTTTTTCTCTCTGTCTGGCATGAGGAAGTTGTGGTGCTGTAGTCCAGAGGTGAGCTACCCTGCTAACCCATTGGTTTAAATCTATCAGCAACACTTCCCAGGGAACAATGGGCAGTCTCCTTCCATGACAGTTTACCTTCTGACGTGATCCAAGTCAGAATGGTTGGTGATGGAGGTGGAGGCATGCGGAGGCTGTGATTCATGTGGCACATTATCCTTTGGATTAATAGCTTCCTTGCATCTTTGGTTTCTTCACTTAATAAGAAAAATCTGGATGGGAACAGATCGATGTTGCATGTGTCCTTGGATGACTGATCCTAAGGTCACCACCGTAAGATGTAGAATATTCTCTTTATGAACTGTGTCAGGACACAAAGAAGTGAGGGACTCTCCCCCAAA